TTGGTATCGTTATTAGATATTAAAGCAAAATGTTACTGTTGACATGAATCAATGGAAAGTCACTCTCACATGCTTTTCCATTCTTTGCGATCACGATATGCTGTTATCTCCATTCATTGGGATAACTCAATACTTCACCTGTAAAAAGTCCTAAAATGGCAAGGGAATCAAGTAATCATAATTAAATAACGTGCTGTTTTGATTACCCTTCAAAATTCATCTAAGGTGTCGAAGAAGTAACGTCTTCGAATCTATTTTCAGTCATTGTACGAATTCCTTCTATTTCTAATTTCACTGTTCATATCCTAAGTTCCTTATACAATACCATAATTCCAGTTAGTTCTTGAACGATAGATACACTTCATCTTCTGATTAATTTTCAAAAGCATTCAAATTTCAGTGTGTAACTTCGTATGTCACGATCGATGCCTCAAAACAGTCGTATCATACTGCAGTGGTGTTGCGTTACAATTGATCAAAGTAAGTTGATGGCTGCTGACTTGAATCATTGGCACTTGAATCACTTTGTTCGTTCGATTCATTCGTTAGCATTCAGAACTCCATCATATACGATATTTCCAATCGCATAAAAAAGTAGCCTTCAAAGTCCGTTGTGTAATTTCAGTCAATTACAATAATATTGAAATGTCACTGATTTTTTTGAAGTTTACTTGAACACTTCCTTAAGCACTCTAAAATTGTCGGAATTTTGATTGCGCAGAATTGTCGAAGCTTCTGAAGTTTGTGATGATTTCAGAATCCAGTTGCCCATACATGGTCTGAACCATCGCATATAAAGCGACGATTCTGTTGCGTTTGTCGCAAGCGAACCGACGACACACTAACAGTTGAATGTGAAGGTATCTGCATCCATTTGTTTCTTCCGCGAATATTTTTCAATGTCGATTGTTTCCTGATGATTTTGCTAATCGAATTTATGATGTCAGTCTCAATTGGATGAAAGTGCTTTATGTTTCAGTATGTGAATATTATGTTCACGTGGATTGTCAGGATTTAGCAGTTAGCGATTGTAAAGAGGCGGCCACATTCGTTCCCAATGTTGACAAGGTGATATTTGTCATTCAGTTTTAATCATCTTCACTTCTCTATATCCATTACGTGAATACCTATCACAGTTTGGAGTTGAATAAAATAATACTGAAACGTCGCTGATATTTCATCTATCGATTCAGTGGTCATTCATGTTATCGTTCCACTCACCGAATGAAAAATTCAATGATCTGCCATTGCCGTTCGATAGTCAAGCTTGATTCCTCGGGAATTTTTCATCTCTTTTGCTTTATGGAGGATTTCTTTTTCGGCATGTTCATAGGGAATTGTTTCGTGGAATATTCTG